AACTATATGTTGAACCATTAGCCTCCCATCCAATGACCGCTGGAAGAGAGCAACACACCTCTGCAACTCTGCAAGACAAGTGGGTAAAGAGGATGGATGGATGGATGGATGGATGGATGGATGGATGGATGGATGGATGGATGGATGGATGGATGGATGGATGGATGGATGGATGGATGGATGGATGGATGGATGGATGGATGGATGGATGGATGGATGGATGGATGGATGGGAAGAAAATGTCACACTTAATTATTTTTTTTCCAAGTTCAAGTATTTTGTTACCGTTACGTTTGCTGATTATGGAATACGGCTAATAAAGAACTTGCCAATGCTCCGTATGGTTCATGCATTCTATACTTGCTCAGGGCCACTGTTGTATAAAGTACTCAATAAAGGCTGTCCGCTAGTGGTCACGCCAAGGTGTTAAAGAAACTACTATTTGCTCAAGCTGAAAGTTCAGTTTCGCAAATTTGCTGACTAAATCTAAGTACAATGGAAGCATGTTCATATAACCATTTCCAGCTACCTTTGGCAGATTGTGACGGTGTCAGGTCTTGTCTGAGCATAAAATGAGCACCTATTTTCCTTTCCGCTCTTATTCTGAAATTTCTGGCCTTGATATCCGCAGATAGCAAGCAAAGTGTGCTTTATGCGAAAGGAAGGTTATGTGTGGGTTCTCTCCGCGTACTCCGGCTTCCTCCCACTGTCCAAAAACATGACTGTTAGGTTAATTGGCATCTCTAAATTGTCCTCGGGTGTGTGCATGGTTGTGTGTCTCTGTGTTGATGAATCTGCAGGATATAAAATCAAACATATTAATGTCACATGTCTTTTAATGTCCAGCTTTCCTGGAAGGATAATTCTATGGTTTTCACATCAGAACAATTTTCAAACTAATTAAACAAACATAGTTCTTAGCTATAAATTCTGAAATTTTACCACAAAATAAGTTGACAAAGCGTGGTATTCTGTCCAAACAAACAAGTGGATAAATGAGAGAGCTCCCCCCGTTACATTTAAAGAGATCAGGGCCGACTGTGAGCCGGCACGGCCCTGTGCCCACTTAGAGGACGACAGAGTAATGGAAATGCCAACCACGGAGGTCAGTGAGGCGAGAAAGTACCACAGAAATAAAATCAGTTTAGAGATTTGCTGCTTTTGACAAAGATTAAATCAAAACAAACTGTGTGGAATTTCAGCAGAAAAAAACTGACTCCTTGGCTTAGAAAAAAATCAATGTGGAAAGATGTGAGGAATACTTTGTAACATGGCAGATAAATTGATGCGATTGCATCTATTTGTTTTGGGGCAGTATTATTAAAAGCTGCCGTACATCAAGTCAGAAAAGGAATTCTAGCTTGGGAAACGGTAGATTACTATGACAGGACCTCAGAGGAGGCGTACGCATTTAATGTCCAGCTTCTCCTCAATGCTGTTAAACTGCAGAACAATTCAGTGGTTCATAGTTTCTGCTCCAGTGTATCAAGAATGCAAAAGATAATTTAGTGCACTAATCCAGAGCTCTCCTTTTCAATTAGTGGGAAGGTCAGGATTGTCAGAAGGAAGCAAATGAAACACGGCTCAAATTTTAATAAGGCTGCACACTACAGAGAGACTCCTCAACCTTATGGCTGAGAGGATTTTCTTTTCCATTAGCAAATATGGTTTGAACAATCCCATTTGCCCTCACAACATTTGATGGATGTAGCAAACTAGTGGACAGATAAGTAGTTTAGGGGTGGTATTCAGCCTGAACTTTGTTTTGACCTATTATGCTTTCAGTGCAACCATCGGTCAACCACTGCTTTTATTTATAGTTCTAACCATCACGAATGGATTTCACTGTAATAAACATAAGTTGTTATTTTGCAAAGTACAGCAGCCCTATCTACTAATCTGATTTTAAAATGTATAGTTTGAAAAAGGACCACATGTTGCAAAATTTCTATGCTGAAGTTTAAAATATTTTTGAATATATCATTTATGTTTCTATTTTTTTCCATATTAGCTGTGATGGTTACATGTGGGAGAAAAAAAGCCGAAAAACAGCAGCATGTTTTCAGTGGGGGATTCTTTCTGCTCGCTGTGCTCGGCAGAGAATTAAGAGATCTAGCCTTCTCGAAAGCCGTATTATTCAATACTGATTTTAATTTGCTCCACCACACACTTACTTTCCCTATTGTGGTGGGAAAGTTTATTCAGTTAGAAGCTTATGAGGAATGCTAATGTAGGGCTGAAGTAAGATTTCAGATTGGATTTTCAGGTTTTTTTCTTAGCAGGAAAATTTTAACATAATGGCAATATTTGTTAAAATATTGCCTGTGCACAGGAGAATAACAATGGTAAGGTGTTTAGGCAGAGCTATTCTGAGACATTTTATTGTATATTTATTGCATGACTATTTGCTTGCAAGCCAGTATATATTCTGAGGATCTCAGTCCTTATATATCTGGAAAAACAGGTTATCTTCTAAAAATGTATCCTGTTTTTTTGCTTTTTGTTACACTTGGTTATTTTCAGACGATAAAAGGGTCAGACAGAAAGAACCCAGAGGATTATGGAATGTAGTTAACATCTCAATATCATACATTCCATCATTTACGGTAAGTTGTTCAGCTGAAAGCAATCTGCAGTACTTTATATACTGTGTGGAGCTATGGAGTTCTGGTAATTGGGTGTCGGTGAAACTGAACTCAGCTTCTTTGTTTGTACATCATTATAAATCAAGAAGAATTCACACAAAGACAGTTGTATGTCCGATGGCTTGACAACTGAGCCAGTAAACAAGTCTGATTTCAATTTTGCTTATACTGAAGTACCTTGAAATATGCATTGTGGAAGAGAGCATGTGATATCAATGTGGATTCCAGCCACAGGTGGACAATCTAGAGCCAGAAGGTAGAAAAAGTCTGTCCAGCGAATAGCTCCAAACTTTTGGGTTTCCAGCTCCAAAATATAAGTAGGGTCTGCAACCAAAATTGTCCTATTATAGCTCCTTGTTCCTTTAGCTTTTACAATAAGATCTGTATCGTCTGTAGGAAAGGGAACTGCAAATTGCGATTCTGGACATTCTTTGGCCTTCGTACGTCATCAAGAGACACACAGGGATGATTCTGAAAAAGAGCTAATAAAATTTAACTTGCTGATGTAATGAATAGCTAACGTTCTCCATTACAAAAACCAAAACATATCAAAGTCTGCATATTTGAATAAGTCACACAGTAAATATGAAAAAATACTGTTACTGCAGACAGTACTGGTTGCACGCTTTTATTTTTCTGGACTTTTTTGTTAAATCATCTCACAAAAAAGATTGTGGTTTGCTCCTGTAGGAACTAAAGAAAGTATGATCGGAAGCACACAGGCTCCTTTCCCCTCATTCCTGTCGGCAGCACTATCCAGACAGCACTTATGGGGAACACTGAGGCACATCTGCTTGGTTAAAGAGTCTTTACCAATCAGACGCACTCAGGGACCAATCACCTGGTTAAGGTAACAAGTTGGAGAAAAACCAGGAATGTTCTTTTCTGGCCCTTGATAGGTGACAACCAAGGCTTCCTCATTAGAGTGACAAAAGAATTAAACACACCACCGAACACATTAAATGAAATTGTTCAAATGGCTGCTATAAAATTGTATAACATATATTAGAATAGCATGGAATAGATACAATATAATTTATCTCCATGTAACGCCCCAAAACAATAGAATAAATCAATATGCAATGGAAAACTACAAAATATGCATATCAGTTGAAATGAAAGACCTGCATGGTTCTAATATGTTATACAAGCTTCTACAAGTCCTCTGTAAACATGGATAACCTTAGCAAGATTTTCATTTCCTAGATCAATCTTCAAACTTTGGTTACATTTCAAAGTATCTTTAAAAAGTAACAACTATTTTTAGATAAAGCCATCATGAATAGCAATAAGAACCCTCCTCGTTTCCAAAGTCCATCATCATAACATTTTAATTTCTAGATTACAGCTAAATCTACTTGGCTGAAAAGATTCTGTCTTTGCCATCTTAGCGGTCCCTAATTAGCGTTTCCATGTTAACACAGACTAGCGAGACGGTTGTAAACAGTGCTAATTATGATGCTGTTTTGCTCAGGACATAACTGTACTAAAGCTCAGCCTGCAAGCAGGATCTTAAACTGCTATTCACAATGAGCCCCGCTATAATGAAATGATTCAGCGCTTGATGTCAATCATGTAGGTCTGCATGAATTCCTTTATAAATGAGTATCCAGTAAGCAAATGTGATTATATCACAGTGAGAAATATTAGAGTATACTGTGCTCAGCAATGATATTCATACACCTGATGTATTTTCTATATTTGGTCACCTAATGGAAAGAAAGAAAATGTATATCCATCTATAATACATTACAATACAAATGTCATAGTATGTTTATCATTAGATATCATCTTAACTACATTTTATTTAATGGATTTAAATAACTAGTGACAGTAAAGCGGGTTGAATACATATGCAGCATTTAGCAAACTGTGGTTATTCTTAGTCTTTTACATAAATTATGATGATATATCACATAAAATTTCATATATAAAATATATACACATATTTCAAGGTATGAACACTTTGAAAACACACAGCATTTTTATACATTATCAAGAGAAAGAGGTGATAATAAACTTGTTCTATTTCTTGATCTGTTTGATCTCCAATAATGTTTGGATGAGTGGATACATGACACACAGGTTGCAAATATAGGTGGGGAAAAAAACACAAGGAAATTAAATTAAGTTTTAGCTGAAAGCATCTGATAAGTTTATGGAAATTAAAGTTTTATGTAAATCAGACGACGGTCAGATCACAAGGGACTGCACAAGACTGAATTTAAATGAGCTGTCTAGGAACACACACCTGCGTAGAAAACATTGCATGATATCTAGAGTCTGTCCGTTATACTTGGAAGCAAACAAATAAACTCATTCTTGTTATAAGTCCAACAGAACATGACTAAATCAGACACTGGGGATACAGATTTGCTTTATTCCAAGGTTTTTTTTTCATCTTGCATTAAATTCAAAAGCATTGTGTTCACGTTGAAGATGTGACAGCAGTTGAAGTCAATGACAACACTGACATCTAGTGGTCAATAACAATAGCACAGACAGACAGCAATTTGAACAGCCTTTATCTCTCATCAGAAACTCGGGTATTATTTCCTGCCGTGTGAAATCATGCAAACAAACAACATACAAGTCAGATTAATGTAATATTTTGCATATAAGATGGTCTGTAAACTTAAAACAGTCAAACAAACTAATACTGAGCAGAAAAACAAGTTTTTAGTTTTTGTGAAACAACATATTGGGTGACGGTGGCCTTCGGATGGATGCTACCTTGAAACAGTTGAACTGGAGCAGGAACGGCTAGAAGAAGTGGTGACGACACTGAGCTGAGAGAAACCGCTCTGACAAGACTCCAGACTGGTCATGGAGCCCCTAGGTAAGAAAAAAAAAGTAGTTGATTCTCAGATGCTTCTCCTTATACTTCTTTTCCCTGGAATTAAATGTTTTGGATGTAAAACATCTTTAAACTGAGGCACCAGTAAACCCTAATTGCTAGAATTTTAGTTCTCATTTTTGTAACCTAAAACTGTACTATTAACAATGTTCCCTCTAATTTTCCGTATGTCTTGGAATACTCACAAGCCCCCCCAAGTACACTGAGGACCTCTGTGATCAACATCAGGTGTGCACACTGAGCCCAATATTAAACTTGTTATAAACCCAGGGTCACACCAAATTACATTCTTTATTGAAAGATTAAGAGATTACAGCTGCAATTTCCAATTGTTTACTTTTAATTTAAATGATTTGGTCCAGAAAAAAAAAAAAAAAAAAAAAAAAAAAAAGATTTATTCATGAGATGTGTAGTATGTTAAATGAAAGAGTCCTGCCTTTCCCAGAATGAGGAGACATTCCACCTTTCAGACCTAACTATAGTTGAAATGTGTGCTGAAGCTTGTGATACAGTATACATTCCTGGAACACTTTGTCTGTTTTACACATTGTTTTTGGCATTTCTAGTAACAAATTATATAATAGTCTAAGCAATTATTAATTGATATCCGTATATAAGAAAACTTAATAAATGTAATAAGAATATGAACAAATCTATTGCTGCAACTAATAATTATTTTTGCAAATTGACTAATCTGTTGATTTTTTTCTCAATTAATTGATTAATAATCAGATAGCCAAAGGTTCATCAAAGAAGACTTTACTAAATTAAATGAGGGGAAACTAAAACTTTTCCACTTAAGGAGTTCTAGATAGAGTATATTGAAAGAAAAAAAATTTTTTTAATCTTAAATGCAAAATATATATATATATATATATATATATATATATATATATATATATATATATATATTTTTTTTTTTTTTTTTTTTTTTTTTTTTTTTTTTTTTACAGTTTTGGTATATTTACTGCTCTAAGTGGGTTGCTCTGTCAGCTAAAGGCATATTTTACAGTCTCTATACTCCAGTTAACGATTAATCCATTACTAAATTAGTTGACGATTATTTCAATAATCAACTGATTTGATTAATTATTAGTTAAAGTTAACGAGTTAAATTTTATTTTTCATATCTGTCCTCACTTCTCGAATGGTTGTTTAAAAATGCCACTTCAAGACACTTTCTGGATGCTCCTTTGATGCGATTCATTAAACTGAATCTTCTTTTTCAATCAGAACTGGATGCTTGGAATGCAGCACATATATCTACCGGCTGGGAGATTTCATTCAGCTCCTCACATCTAAGTGAGGAGCTAATATTTCAGAATATGCTGATTGACCCCTTGATTTAGCAAAAAAGTCAAATGGAGTTCCCGCTGCGCTGTGAAGAGCTGCATCTTCATCTGTATGCATGTTGGATAGAAACGCTGTTACAATCTGGTGAGTTTCATTGTTCTGGAAGCTTAGAATAGTAAATAATTTGGGCCACCACATATTCTTCTCCCTGCTGGATTATTTATTTATCCACCTTTAGATCTCTTTGATGCTCTGAATAAGAAATCTGCTAAACTTGTTTTAAAGGACACTGATGTTGTATTAAATATATTCATACAAGTTTTCAAATATTCAAACAACTGTTCGATGTATTAACTTTTATACCCCTTTCCCATTAGCCAATAAAAACAATTTAAACCCAGAAAAAATTGCCATTTAGTCGTCACACGACTCTGCAAGCGACCAGCGTTAAATTATTATTAAATGATACCATTAAAAGCAACGTACAGACATCAATACATTTCTGAACTAACAAGCCGAAACAACTCTGTCTACATTTGATAAACAATGCGCAGCACAGGTAAGAAGGATTCGGACAGATAAAATTGCGAAATAATGAGGAATACTGACTACGCTCTGGCTCCCGTTCACGTTGCTCACCATTATTTACTTCACTGATTTTCCATGCACTGTCGACATCAACAACGCTCCCCCAGCTTAAAGCTGTCATCAGACACCTAGTGATGGGGGACAGTGGAGACGCAGCTTGCCAACAGGGCGTTAGACTTGGCTTTTTGGTCAATTGGGAAAAGAGCCAAAAGTCAATTGTTAGAGAGTCAACCCGGTTTTGAAAGAACCGGGTTTTATAGTGCGAAAGCAGCTTTATAAAAGTGATTTGCTAGTGACAAAGGCAGTTTGGACATGACAAGAGGCTATAAGAGCCAAAAACGACATTATCAGGGATTAAAGCAAAAAGAAAATAAAAAATCCTGAGCCTAAAGTTTTTGGACACAGGCATCCATGAATGATTGAAGACTAAATTTGATTTTTTGAAAATCCAATACCAAAAACGGCCAGAAGATGGCAAAAGTGCATCTATATCATGGTCAGTTATTGAATCGGGTAAATCAGCTGTTGCCGTAGCTCCCAGCAAACGTGAAGGGTGTGCGCAGCCGCACGAACAGCAGCTGGATGACCAGGGTCTAACTCATGTTTGCGTGGCACCTTTGTACAGCTAGATGCGTAAATAAGCTTCCTGGAGCACAGCGTGCCGGAGTTCATGAACTGCATTGTGCCCACTCCATGCAATTCCGTTCTCCCCATCGATCCCCTTCTATCCAAACGCAAAGTTTCATTTATTTATTTTTTTACTTTTAACATGTCTCTCTGTTGAATGGAGCTGTAAACGGCGCAAGGGGACTTCCCCTTCAGCACTGTACCACAATCTATCTGGCGGCTTGAGCAAGAAAGGAGGAGATACACGCTTTCCTAAGACTCGCCCCTTTCTTCTTCTGTTTGGCTAATACTGTTAGTTTCAGAGCACTCCTTTGACTGACAAACGCAAGGGGGATTTCGATTGTTTTTGTTTTATTTATTTACCATCAATTTATTTTCGTGTGAGTTTTTTTATCCACGGGTAAGCCCTATGAGCCGGAAATCCGGCCTGGGACCGGAATACTTTAATCCCTGCATCATAAATAAATAAGCCTCGGTGTTAATAATAGTAGATTAATCCTGGCCCATACTGATTTTCAGACCCTCCATGATTAATTATGGCATCTTTATTTTCCTTCAGTGCCTATTAAGTCCTAACCTTACAAATATCTACAAACATAATTTTGCTTCAGTAGTTTTCAAGTGATTTTTTCAGCAGGAAGGAAAAGAATCTTTAAACACTTCTGTTTAAAATTAGACTTAATGAGAGGCGCATTTATTTACATTCATTAACAATTACATATTCTATCTTATTAATACTATTAATGAAAATACAAGTAGACAAAGAGTTTAAAATAAGCTGACCTGAAGTCATGAGAGCCCAGCACCTCTGTGTAATACATGATCTTGCACTTGTGGGAGGAGACCTGCAGGCTGGCCAAAACATCATCCACCCGTGGCAGGCTGGAGGCAGCTGAGGCTGCAGAGCTATGGAAGCGCCACTGGAGGATGTAGAAGCCAGGCCAGCGGGTTATATGGGAGCCCTGTTTCAACACCAGAAGGGTTCAGCAGATTTAGCATTTTCAAGCAACACAAGATTTCTGTTTGTCATTTTATCGGAACTTCTGTTACCTGTACACTTTCTCCCTCTCTGCAGGTGAGGGCTTTCTCCACCATGCTGTAATCTTTGCCCAGCACCCAGCTCTTATCAATCAGCTGAGCATTCACCGCCCCCAGGGAGGTGATGCCATGAGCTCCTAGAGAGTCTCTCTTTGCAGGCTGAGGAGCCCTCTTAGAATGGTAGATGTTGAAGAGCACATCTCCTTTAGACACATCAAAGTCCCAGGTGATTACAGAGGAGGCCTCTGTGATCTCGATCAGCACCTGAAAAAGAATAAACAAGATGAGAAAAGAAGGAATTTCTTCTTTTTATTTGCAGTTCTGCAATATATATTATTCTCCACTTGGTGGCAGCCTAACTCAGTAAAAATGGTTCAATCAATTAGCAGGATTATCCCAACTTTATTGTACAACACTCAAGCTGTCCAAGCACATGGTGGATGTTGACATAGTACCTCATAAGGAGCTCCTTTAAAGATGCTGGCGCTCTTATAGATGGAGTCGGTCAAGAGACAGTTCTCTTCATTCTCCATTTCCTCTGCAGTCCTGTACAGAGACTTGGGGACTGCGCCGCCTTCAGGGATGTCACACTAGATAGGAGAAGGTTCAAAAAAAGACACAGAAATTATGGGATTTTATATGTAGACGTGATGGATTGTTTGCAAGTAATACATGTAGTTGAGCATAGAAAATGTGATTCATGCACTGCAAAAAACAACACAAAACAAAACAGTAGGTTTAGTGGTTCAAGGCTGCTCCCCCTTCATCTGCAGCTGAGCTATTTATCCACTCAATAGAAAATAATTCAGAACAAATTTGTTGAGAGCAATACCACAGAATTACAGAAAGCTTGTATAGCACAACGCTATAATCACAAGATAACTGAGGAAAATGCTGCTGCTGACAAATGAAGGCTTAGATAAATGGAAATTAAGTTCAGCTTTTTAAAGAAAAAAAAAAAACTACAGGTTTTGAAACGTAGATTTAAAAGGCAGGCAGTATTTTAGAATGTTTAAATTGCTTTGACTTCTTTTGAAAATCTTTTTCATTGTATTCTTCAGGTAATGAAACCCTTTAAAAAGATTGTTCTCTTTTTTTCAATTATTATCCTGCTAGTTACTCTTCACTTTACTTAAAATTATAGTCATATAAAGAGTTGATGCAAGATAAACCATGTACCATACAGTCCCCTCCCAGGAAGTCAGGAATGATCTCTCTGTCTATGTAGTCCACTAAGCCTCCAGGACCCTGGTAGTCTCTCCCAGCGTAAACAAGAAACTTCTTACGAGTGTTCTCATCAATCAGGGGGCTGACCTGGAAATTAAAAAGACAGCAGTTATTGGGATGTGCAAGAAACAACAGGGTCACTTATTGTAAACCTAGGAGGGGGGGGGGGGGGGGGGGGGGTTGGGACGACACGCAGTAAGTACTGAATAATTCATGCAGGAGGAACAAATGAGCTGCCTAGATGATGGTGTTACTAAGCACCCACATCTGTATCATAGCATATTCTCCATATTTATAATTTCTTTATGTGTTCATCAATTACTGGATGGATTATTTAGATGAACCAGATGCAAAGGCCACAGTGCTAAAATATCAGAAAGCTTTCTTATATAATGTTATATTCAGGGTTTGTTTTTTAAAGTGCTAATATTATTCTGTTCAACTGTGTATTGCTTTGGCAGTGATCAAATGAGGCATCGCTCCCTGTATATTATGCAGCTACAATTATCTTTACTTGACAATAACTTATTTGTTTGTTCTCCCTCTTTTGTGTCACTTGCTGCAGTCAACCAGGTGTTCAGCACTTCAGCTCACAAACCTTGTGGTTCTGCACTCAATAGCTTCATACTCATAAACACACATTTAAACTCAGTTCCCATCAAAAGCCAGTTTAGACACTTCACACTTCTTCTCACCAAGGTCCATAATACTGGAAACCCCCTAGGAGCACGCAGTATGAGCAGGCGGCCCAGAGTCTCGGGGTAGTTAGCCTCTACCGCCTCAATTATTCTGAGGAGGGCTTTAACTCCTGGTCTCCAGAGATGACGCATGTTTAGACCCTCCAGATCCACCAAGCATGTCCAGCAGCTAAAAACACAAAGAGAGGTTAGCAGCTGAATTATACCTAAAAGCCCATCAGCCTAATAATATACATAATTATTTGGGAACCTGATGGGTCGACCAAAGAGTCTGGTGTTCTCCTCGCAGCGCTTCAGTCCCTCCTCGTTGATTGAAAGGACCTGTTTTACAGTGAAGACATCTTTTGTTGATTTGTATAAAATTGAGTTTGTATCTTGCATGTCCGTTCTTGTTACCTGTCTGAACAGAACCTCCTCTCCCAATGCTCGCACCAAGCCCTTCGTGTCCATTTGACCAAGACGCAAAACATACAGAGGGCGGCCATCTAAACAACACATTTTACACAGGAGGAAATGTTCAGAAACTTAATATCTGTGTAGAAACTGTAGCTAAAAGCTGGAATGAGGATGAGTAATTGAAACAGTCATCCTAAACAACTGAAATGAACATAAAAAGGAAACATTTTATTAGGGCTGGGAAATGAATCAACTGATTAATGTCAATTTAACAAAATGCAATTTTCAAATCCCAGAGGCCCTCAATTTTGTTCACAATACATCTACAGGGCTTAAAGTAAAAAAAGAAAATCCAATGAGCCTTAAAAATACTTTATTTGCACTAGATGGGAAAAGATGGCCAAAAAAAGAGGCCATTCGAGGCGGAAAAAAGATAATTGTTTATTCATTATCATTAAACATTTTGTGGAGCCCTTTTAATGCCTTGTGAACATTTACAAATTGCAATGTATGTTGTGTATTATAATAGGGCTAGGTATTAGCACAGACTTCATAATATGATTCTTATTACACTTTGTGGGTCACGATGCAAAAGTGCGATATTGGGACACTACAATATATTGCAATAATACTAGCACTACAGAGAAATTTAAAATGAAGCTTGAAATACAACTTGTATGTACAATGTGTAGGTATTTACATCAGTTGGCTGAAACAACAAATCAATGAAATTTATAAATACCCACATTAACTAAAAACATTTAAAACTGCTTGTATTATATTTGTTTTTGAATTCTGCTACTTAGCACAAATCTAAAAAGCATTTTTATTTTATAGTAAAATGCCAGTGGGAAATCCCTGCCAGCTTTGCAGGCTTCAGAGAGCTTTCACTGTGGATTACCTGCACTGTTGCCCACCGGAATGTGAAGTTCTGCCGGCCGCTCCAAACGAGAGCTATTTTAGTACGTTCACAATCCTGATTAACTAACTGAACAGATCACGTTTTGAGGTGGACTTTCTCACTCAAAAATGTTGTAAAATTGTGTTTTTCCAATTCAAAGCAAATAAAGACAACACTGCAAAAACGATCAAGAAATAAGTCAACATTTGTTAAATTAGGTATATTTACCCTTAATTTGCATAGGTAAATAAGATGATCTGCCAATGTAATGAGTATTTTTACTCCTAAAATAAGATAATTAGATAAAATTGAAATAAAACAATGTTATAATTTTTTCTTATTTTAAATGTAAATTATCTTGTTCCATTGGCAAAGTGTCTCACTTACCTCCTCAATTCAAGAACAAATCCACTTATTTCAAGAAAAAATGGCTTATCTAGATTTCAATTTTTTTCCAGTGAAGCTGCTCTCTAGACTACAACGAATGACCAGAGCAGCTCAATAACCGGAGCACCGAGCATCCAGAGTGTCAAAACATCTTGACCAGTGTTTGACCAGTATCTATATTTCGGTGGAAACGCACCATTAGACTGCAACTTATAAGTTGCACTCGTGATCAGTCGTTGATGGCGATAGGTCAGCTGTGACTGTGGCTCCTTGCAAAACTTCTAGTTTGATGGAAAGTACAGACAGTGGCTACGTGACCAGAGTCCGATTTGTGATGTGAAAACAGCCCTTTCTTACCGCTAGATCATCAGATTATCAGGTTCCACGAGCATAATGTGCCGAAACATTAGCCTTCCTTGCTTTATCCTCAGTTTGTTGTCCCAGCTACCATACAGCTTGCCGACACATCTTCCATCCATGCCCAGTGCCTTTTATTTTCAAAAACTAATGCTGAAGTTTAGAAGCCGCATCTTCACTGCAGCTTTATCATGTATACACCTCGTCTTACCCCAAAACTTGTGATTGGGTCATATTAGATTCTGATGTGCGTAAAAAGATGCATCATCATACCAGTCATCACTGGCGCTGCTATGACACTTAGCGTGGACAAATGTGTGTTTATTTCCCCCTCATCAAGAAGAAAGAAAAAGTACCCCTCCAACAAAATGACTGTACGCCTGATATCCGGCAACCTGCCGTAAAACCTGCATTAAATAAAAGAATGACACTCAATTTCTAACTGCATCCCTTTAGGTAAAACACTTAAGTGGGTTTGCCACCACACAGAACGGTAGAGAGAGTTGCAGCTAGCGCTCATATCCATGCATGCAAGTAGAGGTAAAGCAATTTTTCACAAACAAAAATTACAGTAGAGTCCTGCAATAATGGACTCTGGACAAGCAAGCTTTCAAAAACTAAAACCTTAAGATAAAACATCAACAAGCTTGTGGTTAGTGCAAAGGAAAATAAAAAAAATCGCAATTCAATCCAATTGACTTAAAGTTTGCAATAAAGTTTGTTAAAGATTCAATTAGAACCTCAAGAAGTTGTCTTAACTTTTTAATAAAACTCCAGCTCAGTTTATCAACCAATCTTTTTAAGGATTCATTTATAATTAATAATGCATAGTTTCAGAAGTCACAGCAAAAAAAGGTCAGTCTAAACAAAAGTAAAACACATTTGCTTAAACTAAATCCTCTCAAATGCCAACTAGTGACCTTCTATGTACGGACGGCTCATTATAACATTAACAGTTTCGGTCTGTACCTCTGTCGTGGTGGTGCCACCCTCCGGTGAAGTAATCTCGGAGCAGCTGTGGGCACTCCCATGTATCCAACAGGAAGTCCACCTGGTGCTGCTTCCTCCAGGTTAGAGACTGGCACAAAAACTCTCTGGCCTTGTCCATGTTGAAATCTCTGGCCTTGAGGAAGCGCAGCACATGCTGATCCTTTGGAATCTGTAAACAAAAAGTCACAGTCTAAACATACAGCAACCCTGGCACTAAAACTATAACTGGTACACAAAATGGGGTTTTAAAAGTATAAAAAATAGGTTATGTTTTACAGCTGTACAGATTAATATGTGAGCGGTACTTATTGTAATCTAAAGTATGGTTTGATAAACAGGGAAGCTCATTTTTATCATTCATGGCCATGTCAAATTATGATTTGGAGTTAGTTATTGATATAATGAAAATAAATATGAACACAAAGAAATAAAAAAATGCTAGAGATTAATACAATTATTGGTCACTTTATTGATACTAAAAGCAACCAATCACGTGTCAGAAACATTGGTTTCGGCATTAAGAAGATGGGAGATAATGGAAGATTAAACCAACATCAGGATAATATAGAAAGGGAAAGGCAAAACTACTGGTGTCAGGAAAAGCAGAAAACCAGCAAAGACTGCTCTGAAAAATCTAAAATACTCACTGAGCTTCTTTTTCTAGATAAAAATTACTCGATGTCAAAACTCAGAGAATACGCAGATTGGCTTTAGGTGTTAGAATGTAATGGTAGTACAAATAATTATTGATAACAACAAAGATATGTAACATACAATGTATGAATACACAATATGTTGACCCTTGAGATAGATGAGGCATGGAAGCACGTGCCACACTCGGGGCCACATCTGCCAGCTAAGAACAGGACAAGAAGGCCACTACTGCTCAAGGTCAGCAATATCGAAAACAGTCACAACAAATGTTGCCAGGTAACACAAGCTGTCTGTCATTGTAATTAATTCATGTCACTGGTGCCATTTATATCACTTTCTCAATTTTAAAGACTCCTGTAATTCAAACATAAAGGCATTTACTCGGTAAATAATAATTGGACTGAAGGTACCTTGCATTTTTCCAGTCATAGTGATCATTCAAAGTGTTTAACTCTGCAGGACTGTACATTTACCCAGCAGCACTCAAATACACATTCATACACCAATACACAAACTGGTAGATAACATATTAATTGCAAGACAATTACTTACCTATTGAACCACAGTTAGAAGATACAGGTTTGGTCTAAGCCATAATAATGACATAGCTCTACAGATTGGACACTATCAGGTTGTGGACCTGACAAAGGCATATTGACTGGTATCAACTGACTAAAAAACTCATAGTTCTACTGAGTAGAAAGCCATGAATTTACAATACATATTCTAGTCTCACTAAAGTTAGCCTTTCCTTTTCCTAATAATATAAGAATGTAACTTTCTAAGATAAGTTTAGACAGTTTTTTTCTCACCTGAGCAAAAATGTGTGAATGTTTTTTTGGTTTTGACAAAATTAACTCATCCAGATTCCCAATTCTTCTTTGGAGTGAAGAGAAGTATAAAGCTTCCAAAACACCAACCAACATATCATACAATTATATTCATAGTTATGGTAGTGTAATACTTGAGTGTTTTTTTCTTTTTCAGTTTTCTCCACTCAGCTAAAGAGACAAGCAGCAGTGTCAAAGAAAACAGCAACTAACAGCAAATGAAAGAACTCTGCAGAGAAACTGCATAAGGCAGCGATGCGACATCTCAAAAACACACAGAGAGAATTAAAGCAAAGAACAAGCAAACTTTCCAAACTCAAAGGCTAGAGAAGTTATAAAGGACACAGATAAACGTGAGGTATTTTAAAAATAAAGCATCTCTGTAACATTTTAAATGCTTTAAGATTATTTGATAATAGTTGATCAATCTGTGAAATTAAAGCAAACTGTTGATTGAAAACATATTCATAATTTGACATGGGTATGAAAATTGGTTCTGCTGAAATTCTCTTGGCCACCAGTAAAACAAACAACTGAACAATAATCGTTTCCGCAGGAGCCTTATAGTTTATAAGGGAAGACAGCAAACAACAGCACAAACTAATCTGCTAGTGTATGTCTGACCTTGCCCTTGTGGGTTTCCTGGAGCCATTGGCGCAGTCGGATAAGACAGCTCTCCTGCAGAGGCGTTAAATCGCCAAGGTAACGTCTGATGTAGTCAGCTTCCAACTTGTCTACCAGTCAAAATACAATTATAATAGTGAGTTAGTAAATGCTTTAAGCATCAAAGAGAAATGTCAAGCACTCTTACATATATACAGTAGTTGTGCGCTTAACCTATAATTTTCACTATATATATATATATATATACACCAAAATGATTTGCTACCTAACTAACTGCATAGTAAGTTTTATTACCACAATGAAATCCCTAAATAATTATCTTAAATAAACAAAGGGTCTATTTCCCCCTTATAGGTTCAGAATAATGTCGTGATTTTAAATTTTTATAAGTGTAATCCAATCCTCTATTAAATGTCATAATTCTGATGTGCGTTTTCTTTACCTGTAACAAAATTCCAAATGAAACACACTCAATTAAGTTTCCAACTCCAAATATGTAAACGTCAACATTTATAGTCAATTTGTTGCAGGTAGTTAAAAGTTGAACTAAAAGTTAGAAGTGAAGGATGAAAAAAATGATGGATGGATCCATTTTTCTATTGCAACTTTGTAGGAAAGCTGCTGTCATCTTCTATCAATGCATCCACATGACAATAATAATTGATCACAGTTACTGACCATCAGCTGGACAGGCCATAAGCTCTGTGGGATTAACCAGGTCCTTGCCAGGAAGCCCATCGATGGCTCCACTCTTGGGGACGGCTCTTCCAGCTGAAAGGTCTCCTTTAACAGCGGGCTTCCAGCGAGGTACGTAAGTTACTCCTTCTTTCTCCAGCTCTGTCAGGTAGTACTCCATTATTTCCTTACCCTTAAACAAGTGGAGGACACAAGAGCTTGTTTAATCTAAAATTATATATCATTGAGGCAAAAAATGTACGCTAATAAAATATGCATAGACAAGTTTATAAAGCTACCTTTTTAATGCTAGTTGCATACTGTTTCATGGCTATCTTTTCTGCTGTGCTCTCAAAACCAAAGAAGGATTTAATGTCCAGGCTAGCCGTTTGTTCAAAGCAAGTCCAGTCTTCATTCTCTGGGTGAACCTGCAGAGGAGAAAATATAATAATAATTTAAAAAAAATGAATTATTAAAATATAAAATCATCTGCCTGATTTTTTTTACATTACCTGCATAAAAGAATCACAACATTAAGTTAGAGATGTGTGAACAGAGCTTAGGTAATGGACAGTAAATTTAACTGGGATTTTATGCAGGCATCTTAATTACGTTCTTATCTGAGACTGTCAATTAACATCAGAATTGTTATTGGAACATAAAACAAAACTGCTTCGCCATTAAAATCACTGTTCCTGTATTCCATTGAGCATGAACCATTGTAAAACCATTACAGAAATAACTATAAAGGGAAAAACATCCAATAAATAAAGCTCTCTTTGACATTAATATGTGCTTTACTGTGCTTACCGTGTAGCTGCAGCATTCCTTGACAATGACTCTGCTGGAAAAGGTCTCATTTTGCACCTCGATGTGAAGAGTCCTGTCTCTGCGGTTCAGTGTGTTCTTCTGAAGGAAGTACAGATATTCTACACCCGCAATCTACATGCAGAACAAACAGATATGTATAAATATAGGCTTATTGAACAAACGATTGATTGAGCAGATAACAAGTGTAGTGTTTAATTTATGGTTTCTTGCCTGTTAAGGGACTAATCAGACATACCCGCTTAAGAAGCCGAGGGGCTTCAATGTCGATCGTACAGCGTCTCTCTGTAACCACCACAGAACCATCTTTGCTTTCACTTTGGTTGAGGATCTCACTGTCTACGAACATAGGGATCAGCGGGCACTTTGGGAACCGCCTGGCATAAGCCTGAAATACGAGAAAATGGTTATATGTCTGCAGATGCAGGATTGTTAGGTATGCCTGCAGTCTACACTTTGAGCTACACTGCTGAGCTCAGCGTGGTATTGTGTGACTGTCAGGTGCAGCAAATAGCTTTTAAAACAGCTTATGTAAAAAGCACAACAAAAGTTTATGTACAGCGCACAGCAGCGGTCTGCAGCTTTGCAAGATTTTACAAGCAATGATTGCTCCATGTTTTACAGCCTGCAGTACGTGGCCTTCTGTCTCTGTCGATGTGAGCACATCCCACCTGTCAATATTGATCAAGTCACAGCACAAACAGGGTCTGACATAATAGCTGCATGTGTCTGTGCAGCATCTCATGGGAAGGATTTGACAGGTGACAGAGCAGAGAGGCCTGCAGCAACATGAAGTGGGAAGGCAGCTTTTCTATGTGGAGTCTTAATAACTTGAAATGGTTTTCTGCTGCAAGGTTACTCATTGCTGTCTCATTGCTCTGTATCTCCACATCCATTTAGAAAAACACACAGAAACTAGTTAGGATAATATAAACTAGATCAAAAGATTTAAATAGATTACAGAAGAAACATATATAAAATAATATCCTTGGTAATATTCATAATTAGCTAAAATAAATAAAAAAAAAAAAGCAAAAAACTGACCCAATAACTTGTTTACTTTCTTTGCACATTTAGAAGAAGAGTTTATTACCCATTATTTGCACATTAGCTCAGGTTCGGGGAGACTTATGTCTAGGACATAAGGCCTCCATACACGGGTAGTGTGCACTAACCACTGCACCACCAAAGCACACCCTTGATGCAACCTTTTAAAATGATGATGTTTTGTTTAGGCTAGGAAGTGTGAGAGCATGTTGTAAGAACAAAAATCGGCACAGTTAAGTGACCCAAGCTCGATCCGAACCCGGCACGGATCAGTTTCAGAGGGGAAGTGTAAATGGGGCATAAGTGGGATTGACGTTGTCAACTAAATCTCCAAAAAAGTCCCTGAAGGGGTTCGGAAAGTCGCTAAATATAGCAACAAAATCAACGAGTTGGCAATAAACTCTTAAATTGCCTCACTGAGGTGATGGCAGTCTTAAAGGCACAGGGTTTAAGGTCTCCCAGCACTTCCCACATGTTTATGTCCAAATAAAGAAGCATAGCTGTTAAAATAAATTTTCTATGAATGTTACGCTTATTGAAAGTCATGGCATTGGCCTGGTTCCAGTGAAATTCTACTAAGTTTCAGCTCAATCACTGTCTGTTCTGAAAAGCGCTGTAGAGGAGGCACAGACGTCAAAGGGACAGATTTTTAGGGTAAAGGTGACTTTTTTGAGTGTAGCGGCCCGTTATGCAGAAACACGCTGGTGACAACCTTATCCTGTGCCGTTAAGACGCTAATCGGCTCACTAAGGCAGGTAAACACGCTGTTGCCAACTTGGCCACATTGTAGAGACTTTTCATGCCCACACTTGCATTTTTTTTTTCAAAAGAGCAACTACCGACAAATGCAGCTACTATATCCTGTCATTTTGGAGACGTTGGTCACAACATGAAAGCACCATTCGGTCTGAGTTACTTTCTTCAGCGAAAACCGAGTTAGCGAGCACCTCCCTCCTCCACTATACTGAGTCAGACGCAGCAGCTGCAGCCAGTCAGAGAGAGCAGAGCAACATTCCTACCTCCCCACTAAAAAGTAGCTTCCGGCGATCCCATTTCGATTAAAAAGTCAGAAAGAAACATACAATCTTTACTTTTTTTTTTTTTCTTTGAACCTGTTGCCCTAAAAATACAATTCATATGTAGCATAAATCCCTGCTTGCCTCTGTTAAATGTCTTTAAGCCAAATTTGTTTAACATAAGATTTTTGGGTTGAGAGATTAAACAGTGCTCCCTGAAAAGTCCAAAGTTTCTAACAAAAGCCTTCGTCAATAAATATTAATAAACTTATATTCCCCAGGCTTATCATGATCCAAGCTACCCTGTTTGTTGTCAACATAAATGCTGATGCCAGCACCTTCATCATATGACGCTCACAGCCTGTGCCACAATAAACACCTATCAATTTAGGTCAAATTATGTCAAGCCCAAATACCTGAATACTTTTTATATAAAAACTTGTGACAATGAAGAAACAGTTCAAGAGGTTTAAATCTCTTTTGCAAAGCATTATCCCACCTATACCTATGAAATAACATTAACGGAAAACACTTCTATAGTGCTTTAAGCTCTTTGGACCAAAAGGGACTTTGTGAGAAAACCACATTCTCCATTTTTCACTCCATTATTATTTGCACTGGCTGGTGAATAATCTAATGGATTTAACTAAGGAACAGGAACAGTGTTTTATTCCTCAGGTGTTATTGATTAAATCTAATTCTACAAGTGCAAACCTTTTGTACAAATCTTTGTAAAAGTGGAAAAAAAAGCAAAGAAATCTCAATTCCCGCTTTATAAAGGCCCAGGAGAGTCATAAAGTGGTATCATAAAAAGGACAACCAGGATGTCACTGGGTGCACATTCAGTAATATCCAGGACACTGATCAGGACTGTTAGCTGGAGTAATAACTGTCACAGTCAGGATTAGCCAGGGGCTAATGAGAAGGCTCAGAGATAAATGGGAGCTGTGGCCTGTAGTAGACTGCATTCACTCTGTTATGCTTTCTCCTCATAGGAACTGTTATTAGTTTTCATTTGTCTGCCTTTTCATAATAATCTGAAACACAAAAAATATTACAGCATTAACTTCTTTAAAAGGGGCCTGAAAATACTCTTTTGGAAAATACTAATAAATTTAGTTTAGTTTTTAAGTTTGATTAAAATGAAAAAAGTCATACAGCAGCTGCAGAGTAAATTGCCACTGAGGCAACACTGGCTTTGCTCCAAACAGTGGATATTACATAAGCTCTTAGTTTAATATATAACTTTGAAGAAACAAGAAACCTCTCAAAGATCAGGCTATAAAAGAGATGGTGATATAAAAAATGTCCCTCTGCTGGAAATCCAAATTTATGTTTACGTGTGCTAGTTTTTTTTTTTTTTTACATTTCCACATCTGGCAATGTGGCAATAAGAATAATGATGCCAAAAAAGAGCCCAACAGATTTTGCTTTCACAAGTGGAGCAGTAGGACTATCGCCAAAGTGTTTCGCTTATTTATGCATATAAATTCCTTTATTACAATTCATGCAGGGAGTATTACAGATTATATGGAGACTCCAATGTAAGTAGAACAGGAAAGGAAAAACAGGAAAAAGGAGAAAAGATGAAGGAAAGAGGAGATAAAAGGGAGACAATAATAAAACGTGATAGTGTTGTTTGGTAAATATAAGAAAAGGCGGCTTAAATGTTAACGTGTGGTTGAATACCAGATTCTTATAGTACAATAACATCAGTAAAAACACTCACTTTTAATGATATTTGTATTAGCAATACATCAGTAGGAATTGTGCAACAAAATATAGGGAAATAGTTGAATTTGGAAAGTATCCAAGTTATTTTAAACTCCACTTGTTTGTGTAAAAAAAAATACCTAAAAAAAAGTCAAGATCAGTTGAAATGATCTGCATTCAATTCACACAAACAGACGTTACACAAGTATTGTGTATTTGTTATTATGTTGTCGCTGTAATCTAGAATAACTCTATATTAGATTTGTAAAGCATTATGTTTGAACAGGGATGATCTAAAGGGAATATTGGCCGAGTTCATATGGCTGATGGCTATTGGAAGGCCAGAGAGGTTCCATACAGCTCTGAGAATAACACACGTTTAAAAAAAATCCACCTGCTATGTAATTAGCTAAGATTAATTCTAGTATAGAGTGGAACATTACGCTCTAAGTATCTCTATTATACCTGTTCATGTGGCTTTCTGACCATTTGTGAGGGACAGAAAGCACGGTGTTATGCTTTGCTCCCGTTTTCACCAGCTGTCACTCCTAAACTATTTTGGCTTCATATTAATGTGCTTCAATTATACAACACAGGTGAAACTTGAACCTCATAAAATGTTGTTATACCTTGGCAACAACTGTTTTTTGTTAGTTTAAAATTAATCAGTGGAGCTGTAACATAATTTAGGAACAGCTGTAATCTAATCTCTATCTAGGAGGGACCGATGTCTCTCTGACAGCTGAACTGTCAACTTTTAGGACTTTAAACAAAGCAACAGCTGTATTATTATTTGTTTTTAGGGTTTTTTTTATGCTGTTTAAACATTAAATTTTTTCAGAACTTCAGATGTTGAGATAACAGCAATCAGTAGATTGCTATTCAAGCATATTATGTTTTTTTCAGTTAAATCCTGCAGTAACTCACTAGATCTCCATAGATCTAACTATGTAGATCTAAAGATGTCACTATATAATGATCATAGGATAGTTAACTCTAAAGGGGACTATCGTAATAAATTTCTGTATTATAGTTTTCTTTTCTTAAACGTACACCTGCAGTTTTCCAACCTTTAAAATTCCAGTTTTAGACCTACATTCTCTAAAAGATCCTACTTCAGGATGAAGCAATAATCCCAGCCACTTTGGCTACAATGTCATCATATGAACTTCTTGTTTTTGCAAGCACTGATAAGATTTTTGTTTTGCACTCATTCACCTTACAGCGTTTACTGTCAGGGATGTTTTTATCAAAATGGCAGAAAACACTGTTATCAAACCATTTCGTTAACTAACTGTAACTTTATAACATCCAGAAGGCAGACCAATATGTGTTGCATAATACTCACCACCATCATTAACTCAAACGGATATTTGTAGACCCGAACAGGGGACTGGTACTGCTGCACCATGGCTCCAACTTTTAGCTTCTGCTGAATAACAGAAACAACACGGTTCATCAAAAGATGGCAGCCGGTTAGAAAAGCTCTGCTAAAAGTTAACGTTAAAAGAACTTAAAGACAAAAACACGGTAACAGGAGAGCGGTTACTGTCGTGGTATTCACCCTTAAAGGATAATAATTTGTTTTCGTATCTAAAACAAAAGACAAACTGTCCATGCTAGTTGGAACTTATCGGAAAACAACGAACCTGAATCAACGGAAAAATTGAGTTTTACTTGGAAAACGCTGATGCCTCATTGAAGTTTTCCGGATATCAGCGTATCCATTATTTTTACCGGATACGGGAAAAAAGTATTGGTATAGGTATTAAGTAAATTGAACCGAGGTTACTTTGCTACACTGAAAAAAACAGTGCAGTCGTCAGCAGTTGGTTCGTCATGGAGACCGGAGCGTTGACTCCGCCCACTTCAGATCAACCGGAAGTGACTTCTGTGTTTTGAACTTATGCTTTTTCTTCTGTTACCCCTAAAGAATATGCTGTTGTGTTTGACGCAATCCCGAGTGGGTTATTAAAGCTTTTATCATCACACGTTGAATTTACTTAGTGCCAAATTTTGATCCAAACTCCATTTCATTCTGATTGTCCTTTTATAAGTAAGAAACAACTAACAAAAGGTTAAGAAATATTCTATTACGAGATGTTGTTTTTTCACCAGCTTGTATATTTTATTGGTCCAACACTTTTGAAAATATACATTGGAAATGGACTTGGTTGATCTTTAAAAAATACTTAATAAACAATAAAGTAGGAGAAATTTCTTATAAAATTATTCATAATGTTTATCCTGTTAAAGCATTTTTGATCAAAAGATATGAATGGGATTTGGACCCAATGTGTACTTTTTGTAAAAATAAGGAAGAAAAGCTTATTCATCTTTTTTGGGATTGCAATTATACCAAAATATTCTGGAGAGATATGTCAATTTTTTTTCAAAAAAATCTTAACATTACTTTAACAACTAAGGATATCTTGTTTGGGATGGAGAAATGTTAACTTGTCAAAATAGAATTTTTATATGTTATACATTTTTAAATTATTATTTATGGTAAATATCATATTCACACCTCCAAATGCTTACAACAGAAACCTAATTTCCAGTTTTTTATTATCTTCTATTAATATCTATATGGAATCCTTAAAATTTAGTTCAAATGCTAAAGCCATGCAAATGCTAAAGCCATGCAAATTCTAACTTAAAGAATTATTATAACCTTTGAGCATAGATTAGATTTGATTTTGACATTTTCAAATAATAGTTCTGTTCTGTAAAACCCTTTGTTGTTGAATATTTGTGTTATTATTAATGTTCTATATTGTTCACGTATGTTCTTTTTTTGCAATAAAGAAAAAAAAATAATAGAAAAAAAAATTGTTGGATTTATTGGCTGTTGGCAACATTTAGTAGCATTACCGCCACTTAGTATGGAGTGTGGTTCGTAAAGGACTATCTACTAATAAACATATACATAATTCCTAAGGCAAAAAAACAAAACAAAGAAATACTTATACATAACTTTGTATTCTACCCGTCTATATCATACACACATTCACCCCCTCTATAATTAAGTTCTATGAAATAATTTACTTTTTTTTATCGAATAATTATTTGTATATGTTTACTCGCCAAATTTTTCCTCAAAATATCTAATAAATCAATCTTTTACTTAATACATTCAAACTCTCTCCTGATATATATTCTCTTGCTTTCATATTCATGAAATTCCAGTATAACATGTTCTATTGTTTCATATTTTCCACAGTAATCACATTTGCCACTAGCATGCTTTTGAATTTTGAAAAGTGTTATTTGCACTTACTGATGTAGTACTCTTTTTTACCACTATTCAACCCTAGCAACTATCAAATTAATGATTTGTGAAACATTGACACGCGTAAAAGTAAAACATTAGCTAAGTGTATAGAGCTATTTGCAGCGATTGTATTGACTAGAATTATTTATATTTATTCAAACACCTTTTCCTGCAGTGAAGGCTGGAAATATGCACTCACAGAAGATGATTGATGAGCTTTTATTCTCACACTTTTTAACACATTTTACATAAATATTATTATGAACACTTATAGGTGATAGTAGCATCCAAACCTAACCTGTTATGGGATGATGTATGTAAGAAAGCAAGTAAATATTTTACCCTCATATTTTTATGTAAAAAGCTTGTAAATAGCTAAATGACGATCCAAGACAACTTGATAAGATCATCTCTAAAGCTGCTGATCTTGTGTGTTCCCCGTGGTCTGCAGTGGTTAGTTTTTATCAATAGTGAACCATGGAGGGAAACAGGGGTATACAAGCAACAAGGTCACGAGGCAGGCAGCCAGGAGCTAATAATAATAAATAATATAACTTTATTGATCTCACATGGGAGAAATTCTCCTCTTCATTTAACCCATCCCTTTCGGGAGCAGTGGGCTGCCATCATGGGGCAACCAGAGAGCAGTGTGGGGTTAAGGGTCTTGCTCAGAGACCCACAGTGGCAGTCTGTGGGAGTCAAACTCAGAACCTCAGGATTCCAAGCTCTGTGCCCTAACCACTATGCAACTACTTCCCCTATGGAGTGAATGCTTGCCTGTCCTGTAAAATCCAACATATTCTGGCTTTTTTTTCCCAAAAGGCTTATTTATCATGTTACATATCAGAGCATCAGATTTATTTGTAAAAAGTATAAACATAAAAAATAAAAATACTCCTTATATAATGGGTTTTGTTTTGTAAAAAAAAAAAGAACAACAGAAACATAAGTGGAAGGAATTTCACTTATAACTAAGATTCCTATCACACTTTGGATAACATTTTTTTTTATTTGGATTTGTGTTTGTGTATATAAGTTAAAATTAACTTAAATTGTGTGGTTAAAAATGTGGACCAAATGGCATAGTGAGTGCCTTGTTTTTAATGCTTGAATTCCTCTGCAAGGTTAAAGAAACACGTGTTTTATCTTTCTTGTTTAATTGTATCTCCTATATTGAATCATCAAAGAATCAAAAGACAAAACTTAAGCATAACAGTGATTTTCCATTGTTGGCTTGACAGATTTAACTGAAAAGAGTAAATAAGAGGCAGTAAAACTAAAACAGAACATTTCAGGCAATTATTTCAACCTGAAAGCTCTAATTTTCTCTGTTCTAACTGTAAAGTATTTAGCATATTATTCTTGCTCAAAATAGAGATTTTGACAAAATAAACGTGGCATATAAATCGCTACTAAAACATGTTCCATATGACAGGCTCCTACTGTCATTACTGTGTCTTAACAGCTTCACATTTGCCATCCCATGTAGATACAGCTGGGGACATATTGAGACTCCTGACACAACATTGGCATGGCTAAATTGAAAACTAATGAATGTGGCAGCCAGGAAGAGTTCTTGTATAACAGCAGGGCACATCCTCCATGGGGGAAATGAAGTCATGACAAGCAAGATCTCTTCTCAATTGACCTCTGATTTAATGTCATGGAGACGGCTTTTCTCATTAATTGGTTGTATACATCTTGGACTACATCACTTGCATGATGATTACTTTTTCAAATAACAACAAAAAAAGAGAAAAAAGTCTTCTCCAAAGCACTTTTCAAAGTGGATTGGAGCTGTCAAGAGAGATCCTTCAGTGCATGCTCAGTACACTTCTCAAATCTTTTCTTTTTTTCTGAGTGGGTGTTTTCACTGAGGGTAAAAATCCCGGTGCTTCTTTCCCATTTTTTTTCTTCTCGGCTTATGATCAGCCACCGTAGAAAGCATGCTTGACTCTATTATGACAAAGATGATTACTTTGAAATTCATACTCTAGCTGCCGTGTCCCGCACTGTAGCTGAAAAATATAACAATAACACAATGACTCATCTGTTTGCTCACACTAGAATAATCACATGCACCCTCAGATATCTGTGCTGATCACTGCCTGGAAGAGAAAAGTGTGGGCACTTAAGTTTACCTACTGTCTCATTCCAGTTCATCATAATCTCTTAGCTATCCTTTGTGATGTTACTTCATATATTTTTCTCTTGAAACTTCTTCAGCCAGTAACTCTTAATATCTCAGACTCAGTTGAACTAATAAATCTGAACAAAAGGATGTATTTAATCATTGCATATAATTTATACAGGTTACAACCACTGAACCCCATCTTTACTTTTGTTATTATAGTGGATAAAATCTTATATTTTAGGTTACTGGTTACTTCTATCCTGGTAGACTTTGGCCTTACTTGCTCTTAATCAGAAATATACAGGTCTTCTTTGGAGTTATGCTTAATATTATTTTCCCATGTTCATTGTCTTTCCATTTCCATTTAGAACAAAATAAACCAACATAACTTCTAATCAAGCACAGTAGAAAACAGTTTGCCTCTTCTTTAATAGCAACACTTGAGCAGAATTACACTTGACATTAAATAACCCCATCCCACTCCCAGCACAATCATAGCACAAAAGGAAATACACCTCCTGGTGGAGATAAATATAGAAAAATAAAGTAAATGGCTCCTACAGGTATTTTTTTGGGATAATAATATCCTGAAGATGAAAAATATTAATAGACACTGTTTAGTCCATTGTCAAGAAATACAAAGAATAAAGAACAAGCGCAAACCTACCAAGAAATTGCTATTAGACCAGGAAAGGAGAGCATTGGAACAAGTCAAAGCTATGAGGACCATGGTGATTCAGGAGGAGTTTCAAAGAGCTACAAGTGGGAACCTGTGTTATGAGTACAATTCTTAGCTATACACTTCCAAATTCTGGCCAATATGCAAAAAAAAAAGAGAAAATGCATTAATTATCATAAGCTTAACATTTGGTTTACAGAAGGAAAACTAATTAGGGGGGCCACATGCCGAAGGCATGGCCCACCTATTACTATTGCACATATTTATTCCGCGTATTATTAGGGGGGCCACATGCCGAAGGCATGGCCCACCTATTACTATTGCACATATTATAGCTTATAGTTCTCCTCGTCCCCTAAAACTTCGGCGCGTAACTAGTCCCGCACGGTTTGGCGGATCGGGCCCAGAGTTGGCACACGCGTCGGGACCAATGGTGCGAATG